TCCGCTCCTCGTCGTCTCGCTTGAGAAATCTCGATATATCGAAAGAGGGACCTTATTCCGGACACTAACGAACGCTGAATACATCTTTCTGGCTCCAAGTCTCGTTTCTTCCGTACGAGTGTCTCATGTGTAACGTTGTTGAGAATCGGAAAAGCGTATTTAGCGTTCAGAAGCGTTCAAGCCGGTCACGGCGAGTCACGACGAGGTGCACGCAGGAAGAGAGCGATGTGACGTTACAATAACGCTCCACGTTGTACGTTCGCATCCGACCTTGGCAAACCCTTTTATCTCGGTGTGTTTGAAAGCTCTCGCACTGTCAGAGGCAAGTCGTTGCGTTTGTGGAAAACTCACTGAAATGTGTGTAAAAGCAATATCTCATCATTGGTAATTGTACTGTATGACGATCATTGCCCGTTTTTTCGTCCCTCTTAAGAAATCTCTCTCAGTGTTTCTGAATACTATCAAGCGTCTCGATCTGCGTCCTGCGCGGAGAGCGTCTCGAAAAATTCGCGTCAAAGCGATAAGCTAGCGATGTGAATTGCATTTCCGCCTCTTCTCGAGAAAGAGAATAGCGAAATTGACTCGGATGATATTTTGAGGCGCTCCCTGCGCTACCAATGCGCTGGTGTCGATATTGTGCCGTCCGTATCAAGCTTATTATTTTCCTCAGTGTTTACATATCTTTATACGCATATACATATCTATGATACTTTACGCAACACATTACGATACCTGTACGAGCACACCGACTCTCTTGCACAGAAAGAAAAATATCATACACACACACACACACACACACACACACACACACATATATATATATGTACCACACTCTTTCCCTTACGTTGTAAAGTGTTATCTCTTAAGTGTCTCATCCAATAACTTCCTGAAAGCTTCCCTCGACATCACCCTAATGCGCGACAAAGACCCCGATCCCGACCCCGACCGGTTCGACGAGCCAAACTCTACAAAGCACACGAGCCAGATCTGTACGGGATGTCCCGGAACCATCGCGCGTTTTTCGCTTACAAATTTCTCGGGTAAGATAGTTCCGGGACACCTTCCACAAATACACCCACATACACACACACACACACACACACACACACGAACGCAGGTGTGCAGAGAGCCAAACTTACCCTAGTCGTTGAATGGAGCCGCATATGCATGCTATCGACTGACGTTGAGAAAGAGACACACACATACACGTACACGTACAAAGCGCGTGGTATCTTGCCGAAAGCAAACGGTGAAAACTAAATCATATAATAAAGTTCCTGTTGTCAGGGATGCTGGCGCGACGGAAGTGGCGGTTCGCCCTATGGACGACGTATGCCCATGGGACGCCGCGCCGGGCCCGAGCACGGAACACGCGGCGGATGCTGGCAATGCGGCGGCGATGTCCACTGGCGGGACAGCGTCAGCTGATCAGACCCGACACGTGTGGGACAGCGGCGGCAGTCACGCGACGATGACCGCGCACTCCGCCGAGGCCGCGCGCGCCTCTCGCAAGAACTCGGCGCAACTGGACTCCTGCAGCTCGTCGTCGGACGTCAGCCTCGCCATCGCGGAGGTGTCCGAGCGGCTGCGGAAGTCGTGCAGTTTGCAGCATAGCGCTAGCATAGGTCGGTACTCGAGCGGTATGTTACGAAACATAATCGACTTATGACGCAAAATCGTACGTACTCGGCGACGAAACTAAAAATACCATTTCTTACTCCCCCCCCTCCGCCCCTCCCCCCTGGACTGCAGGTGCGCCGACTTCCGGTCCCGGCATAATGACGCGGAACTACTCGACCTGCTCCGCGAGCGGCCGCATCAGACTGTCCGAAACGAGCCGCGCGTCCGTCTCGTCTTGCAACTATCCGTCGCCCCAGCAGTCATTCGAGTACTCTCACGCGGTGGTCGAGAAGGTGGAAGAGAGGTCGTCCTTGGAGAAGATCGTGCCCGAGGAGGAGACGCTCGCGGAACCCGTCGTCGTTAAAGAAGCCCAATCGAGCAGCAGGTAAGAACTCTCCGACGACCGACGCGAGGAAGATCGATCGATCGATCAATCGCGATTACCGCTCGCAGTCCCAGAACGAGCGCGAAGGCGCCCCTGATCAGCATCAGCGCGATCGTGGGCGATCTACCAAGCGACAACTCCACGATGGAGAACGCCGACGAGGACGCGAGCGAGAGTTGCACGGCGAAGGACGCGGGTGAGATCGTCGCCGAAGAGAGAGGCGCGCACGAGGACTCGCGAACCGACACCGGGGCGGATGTGTCGCCGGTGGCCGAGGAATCGGCGACGACTGAGGAGCCGCCGGAGGAAGCGCAGGTCGTGCCTGTCTGGGAGCCGGACACCCGACAGGAGGAAGACCGATCGGCGGCTCAGGCGGTGCCTCAGGAGAAGCGTGACAATAATGTTAACGAAGTATGCCCGTGGGAGGACGAGTAAGTACCTTGTGCCCGCTTAATCCTGACCCTTGTTATCGCGATCATCGCATTCGTCAACATATTTTCTCCCGTTTGCCTTCTTTATTACCTCTCTTCTCTTTCTTTCTCTCCCCCCCCCCTCTCTCTCTCTCTCTCTCTCTCTCTCTCTCTCTCTCTCTCTCTCTCTCTCTCTCTCTCTCTCTCTCTCTAGCTATCTATCTATCTGTCCATCTGTCCATCTGTCTCTCTCCCTCTCTCTTGATAATCATTCCAATAATATCCTCATTCGTACGGAGCTCACTGTCTGTTTCAGGGAAAACTGTAGAGTGGATGCACCCTATGTAAAAACCTATGCGACTTTAGGTTACTTGTAATTTGTCGTTGATATTAAAACTTGCATTTTGCATTTGAACATTCTCACGAGATTCAATTTCCACTTTTAATCCACTTTACTGAGTGCTCGCGCGTTCAGACCGTCGCGTCGGTCGCGAGGATGCCTCGATGATCATCGCCGTTTGTCCGTAGTAATGACGAGCGAGTCTTTCGGGAGAGGGGGCGAAAATTAAGAAACAAACGTGGAGGTGTCTCTGGCGAGACGAGTCCGCAGCAACGCGAGAATCCGGAATTCCCGCGGGACTCGCGCGCGCGCGCAAATCCGCATCCGTGTCGAGGTCGCGTCGGAGCGCGTTACGCGCGAGCGACTCGTCCGATGGAATTCAAGTACGCGAGAGCCGATGGAAAACGAGCCTACGGCGCACCTACGTTCGCTAATCTCTACATCGAGTCGCGAATATTGAGTATGGCCTAACTATTAGACTCGTACGCTCGGGGTCACCGGCGATCCGCGACGGGTCTCGTCGGGTACCTCGGCTTGCGATCAACGACGTAGATCTTTCTTGTCTCTTCCGACGTTTAGCACGCGGAGCTACGCGATCGCCGTTGCTCTCGCGGTGCGCCCGCTTTTAGTACACGCGAGTCTTATTCGAGGCAAAAATTGAGAAAATCGAGAAAAAAACACGAAAACGAAAAGAGATTTGAGGGAAGAGGGGGGATGGGGGTGGGGGAGAAAAATCGAAAACACTGAGAGAGAGAGAGTTGTTTTCTCCGTTGTTCGGCAGACGGTTGGAAGGGTGTAGCATCCAATGTTGTTCGTAGACTAACATAGGTTAGACACACTTAGACACGATGCGTCGCGACGACAAGTAGCGAATTACAGTAGAATCGTGTCTCTCTTTCTCTATCTCTGTGTTGAGCATAGAAGTGTTCGACGAAGTCGGCAACGCGCTCGTTGCGCACGGCAGCGAGTGGCGTGCGGCGTCATTTGCGTCAAATTCGAGCGCGCGGATTGGGGACTCATTGTGCTCGGTTCCTACCGAATGGTATTTCGCGCAAACGCGCGCTCGCAGGGGTGCCAGCCAAACCTGAGCCCTTTGGCCGCTCCCCGTGGTCGCGCTTTTCCGAGATACTTGTTTCCCTCGTACCCAGCCCTCGCGAATCGCGAGACTTTTCGTTTCGATGTGTCCCATCACCGGAGAATTACCGGCGACGACGTAACGACCCAGCTGCTGATCCCTTCGAGGGTCACGCGGGAATTTAGTCGCGCGTGTTTCTTCAAGACGCGCGCGACCAACGGTTCCGGGTGTCTTTTTCCTTTGGTTGTTTGTTTTCTTTATTTACCGCGAAACACTGCATCCCAATGTCCGGCGCGTCGCGTAACTTTGTTGTAACTTGTTGAGCGCAGTTCGATGTGCGCGTTCTCGTTTCACTCGCCATTAGGGTTATAACGCCAGCCTTAGCGTTGTTACACGCCGTGTCTTACGAGCGTTTGATATTAAAACTATTGACGAATTATCATGACCTGATATTTCATAAGTATCTAATCTCACGTGTTACATTGTTAGTGTCCGCGTCGCTTGTCGCGGTCGCCTCGTATTTAAACTATTCAACCGACGCGTCGACCGTCGCGATGCTCGTCGATTTCGTTCGCTGCTCCTCGCACGAGCGAATCGCGTTCGCGAATCTGTGAAAATGGGAGAAACGAAAGACGAGTGAGCAAATATACGTCGCGAGGCCGAAAATTAGTTGTCAAGTCTTCAGCCGGGCTCGTGGTCCTGTTACTGCCCCAGGACCCCGGACACGGTGCGACAATTTAGACTCGTATCCTCGTTAGATATCGAAGAAGAGCACGGCGTGGAAGTTCCGAGACTAAACGCGTTCGAAGAAAGTGTGTCGTGCTCTTAATTGTAACGTCGGTGTCTTCTCGCATAGATTTAAGATTAGAACGATACGACAAAACTGTCGCGCTTATAATTCCCGAAATATTTGCGCCGGTCACGTATGGTCGCGTACATCTTACGATGATTCTGATCGTTGAACGGAAGCCGCCGAGTCCTCGTTTTCCTCGGCGCGGAGAGGAGCGGATAATTCAATCAATTCGGAATTAGGAGCGCCAGAACGATCGCCAGAACTGTGCCACGTTTTCTCGACGAAGAGCCTGTAATGGGAAACGAAGGGGGGAGGGGGAGGGAGAGAGAGAGAGAGAGAGAGAGAACCCGAGGGAGAAAGAGAACTCGCTAATTTCCTCGCAACTGAAATGAATCGAATTTTCACCCTCCCTCCCTCCCTCCCTCCCCCCTCTGTCTCCCTTCCTCCCTCTCTCGGTTCACCTCGATATAAAGATCTTAGATTGTTCGAGAGTTTGAGAATCCTCTCTTTTCCTCTTTAATTTCACCCGTGAGATAACGTACGGAGGAGAACGAGAGACCGAAATCGGCTGCTATTCGAGCGCGACGACGGTCTGGACACGCGAGTGTAATCATAAGGACTCTAAAAATATTCACGACGGTCGTACTGTTAATTCAGCAGCTCAACTTAAATATCATAACGTTCTTACGATAGGTTAGTCGATAAAGAGAGAGACTAGAGTAAACGCATATGTCCCGCGCGATCGATAAGGAAATGAATATAATATACTTGCCATATATATATTGCCGTGCGCGATCTTTCTTCTCGTCGCGTCACCGACGCTCACGGATCACCGGGATCGTCCTTTCTCGATTCCGCCATCCGACGTGATTTTACTTGTACGCGCGCCACGGTCGAATCTTCGGAAAGGCACGACACGAGACACGAGGGAGAACTCGAAAACGCTGGGGAGAAAGCGCGATTTCTAAGCAGCAGGAGGAAAAAACACGGAGAAAATCAAAATAAAAGCCACACACTTTACTCTCGCCTAAGGACGTCATTCTGTGTAAATAATTTCCGACATCATCGCGTATCGCTTTCGAGAAAGTCTCTTGGAAAATATATTATATTCATCGCAAAAGCCAAAGATCTCGTCGTCGTCGTCGTACAACGAGAGGCGCGCGCAAGGTTCCGCAAACAAAAGAAAAAAAAGAAAAAAAAAAGAAAAAAAGAAAAAGGATCTTCTTCGCATTCACTCGCGAGAGCCGACGATCTCCCGGACGCTTCGCCAAGCGAGACGATTTTCCGCTGGTTATTTGTTCAATTAGCTCAACTTGCAACGATCGTAAATGACGTCGCACATTGTATAATAGATTTCGACTGTCAGTGAGCACAAAAAATTGCCAATGGCAATACATGTCATAATTTCGCGTATTTCGAGTGGCAATCGCGGCAAAGCGAACTTTCCTTTCGATACAAAATATTCGTCAAGTCACAATCACGACATCAGGCGTATTTATTATTCCATCGCGATTTGCAATCGAATCATGACCTCCCCGACTCCGCTTGCAGCGAACGGCCGCGATCGTTCGGCAAAGTTCAGCAAGCACCTCAAAGTCGAAGGACACAAACTGGCAGCCTTGAGCGCGTCCCTCACATCGCATTTTGTATAACTTTAAATCGCGACGCATGGCTACATCGATTACATTTTTAGCATGCCATAATCACGATTGCGAGCTCACCTGCGCGAACGGTGAAGTTTCGTCGAGAGAGAGAGAGAGAGAGAGAGAGAGAGAGAGAGAGAGAGAGAGAGAGAGAGAGAGAGAGAGAGAGAGAGAGAGAGAGAGAGAGCGGGAGAGAGAGAGCGGGAGAGAGAGAGCGGGAGAGAGAGAGCGGGAGAGAGAGAGCGGGAGAGAGAGAGAGCGGGAGAGAGAGAGCGGGAGAGAGAGAGCGGGAGAGAGAGAGCGGGAGAGAGAGAGCGGGAGAGAGAGAGCGGGAGAGAGGGAGAGAGAGAGAGAGAGAGAGAGAGAGAGAGAGAGAGAGAGAGAGAGAGAGAGAGAGAGAGAGAGAGAGAGAGAGAGAGAGAGAGCGGGAGAGAGATTAATAATGTTCAACACGGCGTTTCGGAAGCATTGACAAATGCCTCGTTGTTATTCCGACGTCGCGTGGTCAGCACTTAAGCATAAGGAGGAAGTGCAAATTATTTCGCAACGCCCGAGAAACATTTCGATTAATCCGGCAGAAATCCGGTATTTAATATAACGAACGAATGATTAGCTCGCATAATTAGCGTAACATAATTACGTAGACAAGATATACGACGTATACACAAGCAGAAAATAGAAAACAAAACAAAAGAAAAAATCCAGTGTATCTTTCTATATAAAATAGTAAAACGTACCGCTGTAATATTATTGCATAATGAGAAACTGACTTGCATAAGTTACTCGTGTTTTGCAAGTTGCACCTTTGAAAAGTCTGCGAGATCTGGTGCCGTACACCGTGCGCATTGTATGACGTTGCTTTACATAATAACAACGTTTCCTAAGCGTTTCCGTTTCTATAACATGTTTTTTGCGAGAACAGAATTGTAAATATCGTTGGGATAGCGTTTATATATTTTTTTGTCGTGTACATTTATAAATTATATTTTTATCTAGATGTAAAACGACACACACTCTGTAGAGGAGAGCACAACGTTTTCGCGATAAGCGCGACAGTCCTTGTCCGTCGCGTTTGTCACGAAGAGGTCGAGACTGTGGAATGGATGCGCGATTTTCATTTCCAACTTCAAAAGGGAAAGAATACCGGTAATTATTGTTATTCTAATTAGGAGTACAACGTACTGCGAATTGTATGCTTGTAAACGGACACACCGCGATTCCTTCGGATCGATATATCAGGAAACATACATACAAGATATTTTCATCATCGAGATACGAAACGGGAGAAATGTGTCGAATCTATAAAAAAAAAAAAAAAATAAATAAAAAAAAGAAGGAAGACAAAAGAGAGAAAAGGAAGGGAATATCGGAGAGATCGGGGCGACAAATGCGCAACAAGTAGACAAAAACCAGTGCAATCATCGCATTCATGCTGGAGTATAACACGTTCGGTTGTTCGAGTTGCCATGAATCCTTCCCGATCAGTTCGAACGACGCGCTTTACTTTTGCTTCGAAAGCCGCGAAAGACTCGCGCGCGAGCGAACGTCGTAACGCGTAAAAACGGCGCGCAATTGTTCAAGTGTGTGTACCGTTCACACGCAACCTAAATGTCGATGCGAAGTGGCTCGTCGACGAGCGAGTGAGAATTTTTGCGTATCTGCGTCATTTGCGCGTGTGCTAGATCTAAAATCGCGCCGCGATATTCGAAGCTTCACGGGGGACGCGGGATTTCTCAGGCGACTTTGAGGATCCGAAAATCCGGGGATTTTACATCTACGATTTTAGGACGTACCGATGAGTCGATCACGACGTTTCGTTTGTGAGGCGGACTTTAAAGATTCGCAAGGATCTGTGGGGATGATGCATCGATCAACACACGTCGATCGACAGGACGTAGCCCGAAGATCCGGGGAAATCCACGACTCCCGGCTTCCTCGGCGCCGTACAATTTAATAATTGTTTCGATCGCGATCGCGAGCGAGATGCCAGTCGCATTTTCGTCATGTATTGTTAAGCGTAAAAACAATGCGAGAGACTCCGTAGGTCCACGTCGGTCTCGTCATTTACTCTGTCCTCTTTCCAAAATTCACATTTTGCACGAAACATTCGGCGCATAACTCACGCAGAGCCTAAGATGAGAAAAACGCTAGCGACAATAGTGAGTAAAATCTGTGAGTTGCATCGTTAAACTTACGACAAAAAAAAAAAGAGACGAATGAAGACAAATTACGTAGATCCAAAATTGCCTCCAATTTACGCCTCTCCCCTGTTCCTCGATCAATTAACTCGTCGCGTTGGAATAGAATCGATGTCGTTTCGATAATTTCATTTCATATCCAATCACTGTATCGAATCAATGTTACTGTCAAATTATCACCGAATTGGATCGTGAGTCGCCATTCATTTGCTCTCGTTCGTTTATTTATTTATTTATTTATTGTTGACCCTAGAACTCTTTTCTCGCTCGTCCCCATTGTAATCGACGCTTTCCGAGACACTTCAAACCGAGAGAGGACAAAGGGACACTCGAAGAAACATTTCCAACCAGAAAAAAGACACAGAACATTGCGCTTAGATCGTCCTGCCAACCGCGAGCGACAGTTTGTAAACAAAAACCCGTACCCGACTCAACATAAATGACCTAACATGGCCGATGGTGGTCGAGCGACGCGACGCGACGTCATAAGACGTACAACGACATCGAAAGTTCTCGAACGTGCAATACTCAAAAATACTCACCGGCTCATTCAGCTCCTTCGCCGTCGACGCCCGCCCTCGTCTTGTCCGTCGTCCCTTCGTCGCCTCATCCATTCCCCGGAACTCGAGAATCAGCGGAGGACGACTAATGACGATCGCACTGAATACTCCGCGCGACGCAACGATCGTCCGCCATGCGACAACACACTCATTAGCCGGAACGCCGAATCGCCGGTGCGAAAAGACGCGACCGTTGATCGCAATCACGATATCTGATTAACACTCCGATTAACACGACGATCGGCAATCGCTCGATCCGACACTCGACACGCACTTCCGAAGAGCGAAGAACCGCCAGACACCGCGCGAGAAGTCCGCCGACTACCGTTGCGTTCGTCAAACTAACGACGATCGTCCGCAGATAAGCTCGAAAGAACGCGCTGGCAACTTCACGCCGCTCGGCGCGGGGGACGATCGGCCTCGCGAGTCGCGAGGCTCCGGATACGTCTGACACGGAAATGGAACGCTGATTGACACTCCCGGTGAGATATCGGCCGTTGCTCGACGCGGCGCTCGGCTGTGTACGCGGAATCGCGTCTTTCCACGGGGAAACGTACGTCAAACACACGACGCAGCCCGCATTCCGGAGCACGCCGTTCGCGAGGGGGTAATTTCGACTACGCAAGTCAACAAACGCTCGCCGGCCGGTCGACTCGACTTTCACATTGGTGCATGACGCGCGATTGTTATTATCGCACGTGCATAATATTCCCGTGAAACGTGCCGATTCGCATATATATACTCGCGTATTTTAACAAACACGATTGATAACGCGAATATAATCGTCGTGTTATTACACGTTGACAGCGGAGAATTACGAGAGTAACGCGATCGCGACGGACGTAATAGCCGACGTTATTAATCGCGTAAGTATCATACTTTTCTCTTACTCGAATTTTCGGACCAGCTCAGGCTCGTTGGAAATTTAATTGGTTTACTAGCGCGCGTCGATTTATTAGTTGATTTGATTAGCTTTCGGGTCGTGACCGACGTGAAGTTGCCGCCGAGTATCGCGGCGTCTCGCGTAATGCCGGAATCGGAAGTCGGGAGTGCACCGAGACAGCTTCGTTATTGCACGGTCAATCACCGGTTTCAGATGTATCGAGCGTGTAAAACGAACCTCGAGAGCGGTAAAGTGGCGGACGATCGTCGGAGAAGAGCTTCGATTCAACGATCCGATCTGCGACTACTCAGTATAAAAAGATAAAGCGCTCGACGAGAAGGCGGTGCATCGGCCGGTGAGTAAATTTAACTGTTTCACATGCACGGCGATCGTTTCGTTCGCGACGATTCGGCGTGAAAAATACGCGTATATATATATATATATATACGTAATAAACGCGCGCGCTCTCCATACACACACATACACAAATGTACATACACAGGTTATGATCCCTCGTTTGATGATTCCGAAAGACGCGATGAAATTTCCAACTTTTTTCGCGAGTTCTAGGGTCTGAGTCTCTTTTGTTTGATTTTCTCTTTCTCTCGTATTCCGACGCGGAAAGTTAATGCATTTCCTTCGCATACTCTCGTAAGGGCGTTGCAACGATGAACGCGTGTCAAAGAGCGTGTTCTCTGTCCGCTCACCCATCGTCCATAATCGGGGGTCGAGGCTTTCGCCTCTGTGTGTCGATTTTCTCTTAATCCTCTCACTCCCAAATTACGTCTAAAATTGCTGAGGAGTTATTTGAGCGTTACACGAACGCCCGTTCGTTGAAGTCAACAACGACACATCGATGACACCGATGATGTCTATATTTATATCATTAAGAGGCAAAACGTGACGATGATTCAATTCTATGTATATATTTGTCTTGTCAAAAAAAAAAAGCCAAAAGAAACGAAATAGGGGAAACGAGAAAAATCTATTGTATTCGTAACAAAGAGACAGAGACAGAGAGAAGGAGAGAGACACAGACAGATGCCGTATATTTTTCTATGGAAGCGAGAGGATTAACGATAAAACATAAAGAGTATGCGTAGAGAGACGAAAAGAAGGGAGAGTACGTGAATAATTAACCCGCAGATGGGCCGCGGGCGTTAATTAGTTGCTTAGCGGTTAGCAGTAAGTGACAAAAAAACAGGACATACATTTGTATTATTGTACACCTCGCGTTAGAATTTGGCGTAGCACGAGTTCTGACTTGACGCGCTAATATTACGCACTTCGGCGACGATTAATTAATAATTATACCGCGCGTGTGAGAGCGATATAAATATATACATATATATACATTATATATATATATATATATATATATATATATATATATACAAATAAAAATATATTATATAAGAAGAAGAGAGAAAACATGTTGTTAGCTAGCGATACATGGTAGACGATAAAAAGAAAGCTTTAGTGTATATAGTTTTGTAAAGTGTTAACTATAGTGAGAAAAATCTACGAGATATATATATATATATATACACATATATATACATACATACACACACACACACACATATACACGTGTGAGTGTTTGTGTGTGTGTATATACATATGTATGTATGTATGTATATATGTACACACACAGAGAATACTGCGAAAACGTACGAGCTCCGTACGATTTCCAGCTGACACATATTAATTACGAGTTGGCGGTCGAAGGCGCATAATTGATGAACTATCGTCTCGTTAAGCGTAGTTGCATACCGATTAATATGTCGTGCGTAAGACGGAAAGGGGAACGTGTTGATAGTTACGTATATAATATGTGATATACGCGTGGAAATTTTAAGCTGTCAATAGGATGTCCTAATATTAAATATTATAGTGCCATTACGCAACGATTCTTCTCACTCGCAGTACCTCTCATACGTTATTTCACAAAGAGTATATTGTGCTTGTTTTGCATTTCATTCGTTCCCCAGTCTTCCTCCCGCCGGGGCTTCCTCTCGCCGAAGGCAGATGGGCGCGATAAGGTAAGATGAATGTTCTCATGCACGGTAATTTACAGGAGATACCGAAGTTTTCCCTCGGAAACACTCGCGCGCAACCGCCGCAGAATTATATCTACAGTCAGATATTTATTGGTCTATTTAGGGGTACAAGCACACATTCCACATTCAGGCGCTACATGTGGAAAGTCGATGTCCCAAGGTTCGCAAGGAATTATTCAATAACAGTTGCAACGATCAGTCGGGCAATCGGACGGATAACGCATGCAGCGTCTCAGGCAGTACTGATCCGCACCCGGTCGATCAGCGATGTCGCCGACAGCGTCGCACGTCTCTCTGGAAACATATAACAAGGCGAAAGTGAAAACGTTCTCGATGTGAGAAAATTCGCTTCGTCTCGTGTTAATTACGGAACGTCGTAAGTTGATCGATCGCTCGACGATCCTGAATTAATTAAAATTCATTTAAATTGCCCGCGGGCAATTTAATACTTACGGGCAGTGACATATACTCGGGGGGCAATTGGACGGGACACGAATGCAATTCACTTGACACCAGTCGCTCATGTTCTGCCTGTGTCGGTAAGCTACGGTAGGCTCGCACACTTGGGCCCTGAAATCGCGCAACTCGCGTTAAACATTAAAGGTAAAACCAGGTCGCGCTCGACATGTGAATGACGCGTGTCTTCGATCGGCTCACCTCAATGGCTGGGTCAACGAGGTGCTGGAGAATTTCGGGATGATAGAGTACAGCTCGAAGATAGTGTTATGAATTAAGAAGCGTGGTGGTATGCCGCCGGTGCTGGTAACGATCCTCACATCGGCGCAATTGCGGAAGGTCTCCGCTCTTCCGCATCCAACGGCTTCCGTGCCGTTCTCGCATGTGCCCCACATGTTTCCTATCGTGCACAAGCAACGCGAGATGAGAAACGAGATGGGGAATTTCGTGAGACCGGACAGTAAACGAAAGCGAAACACGCGAAATGTGTCATACCCGTGTAATAACTCCACTGCACCACGCAGTGTGAGCAGGTGACGTACGGCGGTAGAGTTACCGAGTATCGTATGATTCCCTTCTTCGGCGTATCGCGCGGAATCTCGAAACGAACGTCCTCCGTTCCAGATACGTACAAAGGATAACTGCATCAAGAAGCATTAATTATTAATGCTTGTTGGATGTTTTTGGACGCGCAGAACAAGAGAGAGAGAGAGAGAGAGAGAAACGCGAATCTCTCGTGTACAATTTATTTTCTACAATTTATATTTACTAGAAATTATCTCGTAAAATATAAATAATATTTATATACAGAGAAATACACGCTGCGTTATCAAGTAAATGTTATTTGTTCTAAATATTTCGCGCAAATACAATTTGAATCCTAACAAGTTTAGTACTTCAAAAATATTAAATTGAAAAAATGACAATATTAAATTATTAAATTATAAGATAAAAATTCTTGCTTGCTTTCTATGTAAAGTATGTTTTATGATATTTTTGATAAGAGGATAAATTCTCCTTTTGAGTATGTGATAAGGATGAAATTTTCTTTTCCTGTCTAAAATTTGTCATTAGTATATTTTAAGGCTCAAGAAAAAGTTTCTCCTTCATAATAAGCATTACTTAAAAGAAGAAAAGTAAATTGAATAATCACTTTTCTTAGCAGTAGAGCGATGTTTCTTCTGTGTACGCGTAGATTTAAATACTTACGAGTCGAAGCAGTCCTGAGTTGCCTCGCGCGACGGATCGTTATTGGGACAAAGGTACATCTCGAATTTCCCGAAGTGATTGGCGGTAAGCTCGATCTCCACGTCGATATCCTCCAAAACAGATTATACTGATATCAAATCCGTTTCATTCTAACTTTTTCACAGATTCGTCCTCGGGTATGCGCGATATTTTCCAGACAAAAACTTGTCCTTCCTCGTTATTTACGAGAGTGAAAGCGATGATTAATTAATTTGCACGCAAAAATACCGGAATCTACGGTTACCTGGCCCACCGTATAGTGCCTAACTATAATTCCATTGGCGAACTCGCCGCCGGCTTCGTGAGGACGAGGAGGTGTCAGATGATAAGCGTCGCCGCAAACGCCGCACTTGCCTTTGTTTTGCTGCCAATGCACTGTTCGCGACGCAGTGGTTAATATCAGCGTTTAACAATCAAACGCGCGTCAATTATGGTGAATTAACTCGAGGACGAATGCCAGCACGTCTCGGTGAGAATGTTTGCGTTGAAAAGCGTGAGGAAGACTGTGCAATCGAATTACGGCAGATCCATAGAGATCGATCGAATTCGAGATCATGAGATGTTCTCAAAATATAATTTTAATGTCACGAGTAATGTATAAAATTTTCAAGATGTACTCTTTTGTGTTTCGTCTAGGTATAGCGGGACGTTTCGGTGCCGGCGAGCGTTCTCTAGCAATTCTTCTAGTCAATTGCAATTTACAGACAAACCTGCGTATCCCCCACAGAAGAGCTCGTTGTCGTTGTAGTTGACCGGGTTCGGATAGCCAAATCGCCACATGCAGTTCCTCGCTGGCGGGTCCATTAATCTGCCATGACCGTGGGTCTTATCGGGTAACTTTTCAAATCCACGTCGTCGACGACGAAGCACGCGCGAGAGCGAGAGCGAGAAGAAGTAAGAGTGTTACATAAGGACGAAGAGAGGGCTCCGTAATTGCTCTATATCTTTTTCAATACACTTTAAACGCAACGTCATTAAAAAAACGGACGGCCTCGTTACTTTTACTCGGTGAGTAAAGTATTAAGGGCGCGTCACTCCGCGCGAGAAAGTGTTGCGAAATTGCGAATCACGCGAAAGACCGCGCGAGAGAGAACGTATGTTTAACGAGCGTTTTCGAAGACGAGACGATTCAACGAGTCTTCGTGTTCTCTCGACGTGGCGTATTGACGAAAGCAACAGCTCGCTATACAACGAAGAAACGAAGCGCGTTCGCTAATCAAAAGCGGAAGCTTGGCCTCCCCCTAATCTGACCTGTCCCTAATCTCTAACATTCTCACAATCACTACATGACGGACAGGTGGTCTTACCTGCGCGAGGAGGTACGATATCAGCAGCAAGATATCGTATCGTCGATGCCTGGTAATCATCTTTCCCCTGAAAACAGTCATAATTAACGTCGGCAACGTACTTTCCCCGAGAGATGCGAACCGATAACGCGCAGTCCTCTTGTTAGAAACCGTTACTTGTTCGAGGCGAAAGAAGAAAAAATTCATTACGAAGCGGACGTAAAATGCGACCGTTTAAAATTCAGTCGCCGAGTTACGACGGCGCCGATCATGAGCCGGGGAGGCGTAGCTGCCAGGAGAAGGAGGAGGAGGAGGAGGAGAAGGAGAAGGAGGAGTTCCCGACGGGTTCGTCTAAGGACGGGAATTATTCTGCGGGATCGAGTTAGACGTCTCGCCGCGACCGAATCTCTAATTGTAATATCAAATCCTGCCTTCGGAAGACGCGGCGAGCGGTCGTCGGGCGAACAAACGCTCCGCGCGGAACGAGCGTCCTTGAATCATCAGCTGGATAGAAGCCGAATCTTGCGTAATGAAAAGTAAGGCGACGTGTGTATTGTGCCAACGGTGTTACGGCAATAACGTTTCCGACGCGCGTCGTCGACACTTGTGTCACGTATTAGGCGGCAGACACGCGCTGCGATTAGGACCGACGCCAAGGATAAGGGGTCCTTTTTCATCGCGGTCAATTGTATTGTTCGTGTCGATCGGTACTCCCGAGTAATCTCACGCATATCGGGCGATCGATCGTTGCTCGTTCTCATGTCATAATTAGCGCGGTATCGGACGGAGCTGAGGGACTCTCACTGACATTCGCGCGTACGTGTCATTGACAGTTGCCGTTTCGTACGCGAAACCTATTAACGGTTTAGCGTCACGTTTGTGGGATGACGTTTTTTTTTCTCTCTTCGAATAAAATGAATGCGTATAACTTGATTTCGATGTTTTCAGCATCTCATTCTCGCTGATATCTATGTCTTCGATCTCAGAAATAGTTTCAACATTGACAGAGGTCGGAGACCTCGAGGAATCCGGCAGACTGATCCTTTCATAGAAAACGTTCACATGATGATTGCGACCTTAATGGATTAATTAACACACAGCCTCTCTTCCTTTCCTTATCTCTTTCTGTTTCTCTCTGTCCATCAAATTGGAGTCTGACTAGGAGCCGTTTCGAGCACCATGTTATGCGATCTGCATGATTCACAGCTAAATCATGATGATGTAATTGTAAATTCACATAATTTATGACGGTTCAACTACTCGGCAGAGGCATAACGGCGTTCTAAGTTTCTCGACTCGACGAAATAACTGTGTCCCTACTTTGCGATTGATTGAACAGGCGGCATACGATTTGCATATATTCCGCGAGTGTATCATGACCCTCATCGTCCGCGTGAAGATTTTATTGTCTATCGGAGCTCGCTTTGTTCGACTCACGGCTTACAACGAATACGACTTTCGGCCAGGTAGTAGTTTAGACGACTTGAAAGTGGTCGCGCGCGCAACAACAGGATAAGTGGATTCCTGGAGTCACAATGGGACACACATTCGTTCGTGGTCCAAACAAAACGAAAGATTCGTCGAATGTAAAACAGAGGAGCCGGTTAACCTTCGCTGGGAGCGGCTTTATCTCGTGCTATCAAACGCGCGGTGATAAAAGGAAGGAAGAAGCGAAAGCGAGTCCTCGTAGGGACACATCGAACGAGAAGAATCCGCGCAGAGGTGCAACATAATGGAATTTAAAGCGACTAAGCTTGACGATCGCGACGCGTAAATCCGACACTTACACTGAGAAGAAAGTGTTTGGTATTTGTGACTATAATCGAAGTTCGATATAGTGCCAAGAGATTCACTTTTCACACAGTAAGTATTGCTACAATGTTAGCGATAATAATCATATATATATATATATATATTATATATTATATATCGCAACTGCTACTTTTTGTTAGAACAACAAGATATAATTAGGGCGAAAAATGATTGCAATTTCAGTAATATGCGCTATTTTTTCCCTCAGTGTAAGGCCATTTAATTTTGGCAACGACACCTCCTCATCGCCATCCATTTCCCGGCTCACGCTGAGCATTTCGCGACCTTCGTCGTCAAAATTCCTCCGAAGATAAGAGTCGACGACCGTTCGGCACATCGACACATTCGGATCTCGAAGGATCGTCACAATCACGTAAAACACGAGATAAGTGGAACTCTTGGGCCTACAGAGAGCGAGAAATGATACCGCCAAAATACTTCGCGAAACTTAAAGAGACAAAAGCAAAGGAAAATCGAAAAGCCCATTTAAAAGTTGTTCGCATTATGGCTCGAGTCGACAGTTCACTCTTAGTGCGACGTTCGGTGTTTAAACAGCGGGAAATAGCCGAGGTAATGTTCGGTCGAGTTCCTTCGATTTATCGAACTTCACTAATCGGACTTGGCCTTCTGAATTATATTCAAACTGCACCGAGAGGCGCAGTTACCAAATTTACAAGCCGATCGGGCGACATTTTTGTTAACTGTCCTATTATGTCTATTCATAAATACATCCGACACGCGAATAAATACGGGGATAAGCTTAATAAGCTTGAGCGGAGTACGAGCGAGTAGTAAGTGTTATCGGCAGGAACGCGCCGTATTCCCTTCGCTGTATTGAGTTGTTCGCTCGATTCGAAAGCTGCGGTCATAAATTACCGATCACTCGAACGCAAACTGCATTATTCGTATATTATCTGTAAGATCTTAACTTGTGGATATTCGAAAAGCGTCCGCTTTTTCCCGTTCTCGTTTCAATATCGCTTTAATTTTAGATACGCGAATAGAGAAGAAGAGAAATTCCTCGGCACGCATAGTCGCAACGTGAGCCAGTGTGACGACAATAGACAGTGAATGAAAAAAAAACATCGGCGGGCGCTTAACGGTACTCGGAGAACGGAAAAAAATAATTAAATCGCCATTCGTTCAGCAGACACACTTGGATCGGCAACGAGGAAAAATGATCGACGGATGGAGGATCAACGGCCTGCTCGAGCATACAAACGAAATCAGGTTCGCCGGGTTACACCTTGTTCTCGGAATACCGGCGAAAACGCAAGCCACGACAGAGAGAGAAAGGGAAAAGGGAGACCGAGGCATCTCCGGTTTCCGCGAGCGTCAAGGTCGCGAGTGCGACCGCCGATTCGTTTTCAGGGAGGGACGACAAAAATGCAGCGGTTTTTCTCAGTCTTTTTCACGCGATTCGACTCGCCCCGCCTCGATCGGCCATCGGAAATGCGAGAGATCCCCGCGGGAGAGCCGTGCTGAGCCTCGCCTATTATAGATTTCCGACATTAATCGCCGGATATTAATTCCCATGCGAGTCCCTTCGCCGTGCGAACGAGTGGCCTCATAAAGCACAGAGTCGCCTGCGACCTAGACCCAGGCCAAGGAAGCGCGTATATTAACCCAGTTATGAATGGGCGACGCATCAAACGCATCGATACCGCTATACTTACTCGGCTGCACGTGCTCGGCCTCGGCGATGAATTGGCTGTCAAGTAGCTGCGAAAGATCGAAGACGTAGATTGCGGTCGCACGTCGGGCCGCACGCAGACCTCAGCGTGGCAGAGGGTGTGCGTAGTCACGCAGTCGGGTGAAGAAGACTCTCGGTGGATGTCATCCGGGCTATGGGACCGTTCGAGACTCGGGCCCCACTCGAATGCGTTCCCGCGACGAGTGACAATACGTGTGCGCGTCGCGCGCGGCCCGAGCTGCCCAAAAACACGACCACCTCCACCTCCGGGCAAAAGACTAAGGCGTGGTTGGCAGGTGAGCCCGCGCCCGGTGTGATCGCGCGCGCGCTGCATAGTGGGGATGATCGGAGTGGAAACTGGAAAATTGATTGAGCCATTTGACATTCTGGATCACGCTCTGAATCGACTCGATCGGTTTCGCGCCGCCGAAACTGCGTGCAGCCGAGTGTTAATGTACAAGGTCGGACTCGAGTCTCTCTCTCCCCCTCTCTCCCCTCCCCTCACTCTCTCTCTCTCTCTCTCTCTCTCTGTCTCTCTCTCTCTCTCTCTCTCTCTCTCTCCGAGTGAAGTGAGAGACATCCTTATTCCGAGATCATCGAGCGACGAGATTTGAGACCGATGACAAATCGATGCATTGTTGTCAGCCGAGGACCTACCCGATGGTCGATTGTCTCTCTGCAGACAGAAAACGATCGTAATTAGTCATTTGCTCCCTCATCCTTAGTAACGGGGTCAAGCGCAGTTTAAACACCGCGATACTTTCGTCGTGTTCAGCGCGTCAGTCAGCTGGCGGCTCGTCGATGACGATCGATCGCGGGAATCTCAGAACGATTGAACGGGGGAGATCCTGCGGGGCAAGAGGATTTCGATTATTTGTTCCGCCTGATTAATTGTGCTTGAGAATCTTTTTTTTAATATATAATTTAATTAATATATAATTTAATGTATAAAGCTCATTCAATGTATACAACTTATCGCGTGCAAACAGCGATAAACACACGGCGATAAAAGCAACAATTGAATTAACATCGCGGGACAAGAAAAATTTAAACTGTACCGGCGCGCGACGAGCGACGTGGAAAATGTCCGAATTTGTGTACTTTCACTTTCACCGCAATCCCACTTGAAATCGCCGAATGCGCTGCTATTCCCGACACGAAGCGCGATATATTCGTCGTCGAGCCGACGGACGGACGGACGGATAGACGGACAGACGGACAGACAGACAGACAGACAGACAGACAGACAGACAGACAGACAGGCATATAGTTATGTAACAAGGACAACAATTCGATCGCTCGCATTAATCAGTGATATTACCTATCGCAGATAGATATATTGTCTCGTGCAAAAAGTACGCGATTTGTCCCCGGTATCTCTCACGTGGCCGACCGCTGTTATTTGCCGGCGCGCTTAAAAAATTCTCGACATTTCCCTCGGGAAGTGTCGAGCGCATGTCGACACTCGATAACGACACTCGAGATACCCTGATAAATTGCAGCATTCGCGAGCATGCGACGAGGAACTCTCCGGAGAAGCAGCTGTTTCCGCGCACAGCTCGCGCCCTCACGACTCCGGCTCGGCTGTCCGCGCTAGATGGAAACGCTATTATAGCTGCGAGCTATCAGAGCGGCCAGTACAGTTCCATCCCTTCTGCGGAGACGACGTCTCGCCGGTGAGCAAGCAGCCCTCCCGCAGCATCCGTGCTCTCGCTTACGGCCCGGACGGAGATGCTCGTTAACAAGTGCACGCTGGCCGCGCGTGCCTCGCCCCGACAGCTACTCAATGGTATTTAGCAGTTTTCCTTCGCGCCCCTCGTCCAAGCATTCGCGTAAATTCACGTGTAGACGCGGGCCGTGCGAGAGAAAGAAAGAAAGAGAGAGAGAGAGAGAGAGAGAGAGAGAGAGAGAGAGAGAGAGAGAGAGAGAGAGAGAGAGAGAGAGAGAGAGAGAGAGAGAGAGAGTGTGTGAGTGAAGGCAGTCAGGACGGCGAGAGCACGGCCATTCTCCGTCGCGTGGATACGTGCACCTCGGCAAAATCGATAGATTCCTCACAGCTTCCAGCTTCATAGCTGCTTCGTCGGCCCGCGCGAGCCTCGAGGTCCTGTGCGTCCTTTCTCAAGTGGTTGAACGACACGGTAGCTGATTATCGATAACGATGCTTGGACGATAGTAGAACATGTTAGTAAGTGATACTGTGGGATCACTGATATCTCGCTTCTCCTATCTTCGATATCTTCAATATTTTCTGCATTGTGGTAGGTTCGTTATCTTACACGAAATTTTGAATGCGGCACGTCGAGGTCGAGGAGAAAAATAGTCTGTTTCCGAATGTATTTTCGATCTTAACCTTGGCGATGAAACTTGATCTTGACACTCGCGGTGTTACGTTAAAATTGAATCATTGACTGCATTATCTCGCAATCCGCACGACTTAGGTCACGATTGGCAGACTGATAAGCAATCGGCTTTTGCACGATGTGCTTCAGTCAGCCAGAAGCGCGAAGCTTCATTTGTCTAATTTGCATATACGCGCGAAAAGCTGTACATACAACTGTATCTCTGTGTGTACATGTGAATTATATATAATTTAATTACACGTGTAACTCGTGTAATTAAATTATATATACGTTTTGAAGAGTTTTGAAGAGTTACTTCAAAATTGAATTCAAAATTAGAGTCCGCCTGAAATTCGCGAAGTAAATTCCTCGATCGTCACGTCGTTACGTATTTTGGTAACTGCCGGATTGTTCTTCGTGCATCATTTCGCGCACTCTCTATCTTGTGTCTACTTTGTGTCATTACGACGTTCTGATTCGCGAGGGGCTCCATGCGAAATCACAACGATATCAAGCAATCACACGTAACTAGCGTCAATGGAGCTAATCGGCCGAACTGATTACCGGGCTTGAGTGAGTCGGCTGGTTAAGCGGTTTTCCTGTCTGAACATCAACCCATCTGCGACCCATCTGGACTCAAACATGAATCTCACACTCGCCGACCCGCTAAGAATGACGAATGTTGGAACGATTTCGGTCAACAGAAGTGCTTCCCTTGGCCGACCGTCTCGAGTCGGAGAAGTGCTCCAATCTAATACGGAGACGAAAGACGCGAACATGCGAGCGTTCATCGGTCTATAATATTGCAGGCGTTGCAACCTGGAGGAGATGCTTAACCGGTTCCACGTCGTCGAGAGAACCAGCAAGGCCGGTAGTCGCGACGGAGATACCGGGTCCTCAGTCGCGCAATATGCTGCAGGAATTGAACGCGATACAAGTACGTTTGATCTTTTAATTATGCGCATACTATGTAATCTGCCGACTTACGTTCTTGACGAGTCCTCGGCTCGCATGTTTATGTTGACAAAATTCCCCTCACGCTTGAGCCGCCGCTGAGGTAATCTACTGTGTGTAATCTGCGTGTATGTAGTCGGGGGTAAAAAGTATGGACGATAAACTTGAGCGCGCGCTTATTTTCCGGCACGTTTGCGCCAGAGTGTGCATTACAATGTTGCGATGTTGTGATCCTCAGCAAGCCTCTTCCGTACAATTCTTCGTAGACTACGAGAAATCCGTCGGCAATTACATCGTGGACGTCGACGGGAACGCGCTGCTGGACGTTTACATGCAAATCTCATCGATGCCCTTAGGGTACAATCATCCGGCTATGTTGGAGGCTCTCGCCGATCCCGTTAATCAGGTGACTGTGATATAAAACGGTGGCGGAGAATACACCGCACTGCTTCTTGTCCTTTTTTCCCTTTCCTTCTCTTTCTTCGCACGTCTGATCCGTCCTCTACAGGATATATCACTTAGACGTTAAGTGCACGGCGCTCGATAAGCCACCGAGCCGCCGAGTGTGATTCGGAGTAGCTGTGAGAGCAGCCTTGCGAATTACCTCGTGATAAAAAAGCAACGCTCAGGTGTTTTATCGCCAGCCCCATTACGACGGGTATTTCACGACGGGGTTTCCCTTCCTTTTCAGAAAATCATGGCGAACCGACCGGCCTTAGGCGTCTTTCCGGGCAGTCAGTGGGCTGAAAGATTGAACAGGGTTCTGCTGAAGAGCGGGGTACGAAGAGCGAGAACGGCTTCTCAGCCGTTACTTCGGTAGCCCATTCCGCTTGTCTTCCTTTAATCGCAGCTTAAACTCAAATTAATAATCTGGACAGGTCGCTCCGCCCGGATTGTCGCATCTCACGACGATGATGTGCGGCTCCTGCTCCAATGAAAACGCCTTCAAGAACATATTCATCTGGTACGCCGAGAAACGAAGACAAGGCGCGCCGTTCACCGAGCAGGAGATGGAATCCTGCATGATGAATCAGATTCCTGGCTCACCGCGGTTCTGCATCATGTCTTTCAAAGGTGCGTTATTATTATTGTTATTGCTATTGATTTGCCGGTCGATCGGTTATTTGCATCTAATTAGAAACGATTTCTTCTTCCCGATATATTTAACAACAGGAGCATTCCACGGTAGAACTCTGGCCACTTTGTCGACCACCCACAGCAAGTACATTCACAAGATGGATATACCAGCCTTCGATTGGCCTATCGCTTCCTTCCCCGAATACAAATATCCCTTGGAGGAGAATATGCGGCATAATCAACAGGAGGATAAACGTTGTCTCGCAGAGGTATCTCAAATCGTTGTTTTTAGAGCACTTCTTTGAGCACTTGGTGCGCGAGAGAGCTGCTTGGGAACTGTACGATGTTTCAGGTCGAGGGACTGTTTGAGAAATTTGAGAAGGAGAAGAAAACACCGGTGGCCGGTGTGATAATTGAGCCTATTCAATCAGAAGGCGGTGACAATCACGCGTCGCCCGAGTTCTTTCAGGAACTGCAACGCATAACCAAGAAGGTAAAGCGCAGCTTTTGAAGCGATTACAGGTCCACTTTACTCGAAATTAAAGTGTCGCGATATTCTGACGTTAACACATCTCAGAATGGGGCGGCGCTTCTTATCGATGAAGTGCAAACCGGTGGTGGGCCAACAGGGAAGATGTGGTGCCACGAGCACTTCTGCCTAGACGCCCCACCCGACTTGGTGACCTTCAGCAAGAAGATGCAATTGGGCGGTTATTATCACATGAAAGCTTTCAAGTGAGCATTTCCTTTCGCGTCAGTCTGATAGTCTTCTCTTTAAAGAGTATCAACACTCGCACGATTAATCGGGCATCGTACGATTACACAGGCCGAAACAACCGTATCGCGTGTTCAACACTTGGATGGGCGATCCCAGTAAGGTGATCTTGCTAGAAGCGATCCTCGATGTGATAAAGAAGGAGAATCTTTTGGACAGGGTGACGCACGTCGGTGATTATGTGATGAAACATCTAATGGATATGCAAAAGGGGCATTCCGGTAAGATAAGCGCGGTGCGCGGACGCGGTACGTTTATAGCGTTTAATTGCGCCTCACCTGAGATTCGAGACGCTCTTATCAAGAAGCTTCAAACCAAAGGTAATAAATGATTGTAAAGTAAGATTTACGCGCTAAAAGCTAGCATTCGTTCACATTCTCGTGTGCTCTTTCTGCTCTCGTTAGGTATCCAAACGGGCGGCTGCGGCCAACAAGCTGTGCGACTCAGGCCCGCGTTGACTTTCACGAAGCATCACGCCGACATATTTTTGGACGCGCTCCGCTCTAGCCTAAAGGAATAAAGGATACCGTTTGATGATTCCTCGTGTCTTCCAGATGTTGAGTGTCTTCCATTAACAGAACTACGAGTATTCGCCAGAGATATATCTGGGTGTGTCTATAAGCCTATAAATGTCAAATTATTTTTCTATGGCAGTTATACACGATATATGTATCTTAAAACTGACGCGATTCTTTCGAATTGATCAAACTGCACACACACACACACACACACACACACACACACACACACACACACACACATATATATATATATACACATATATATATATGGGTGATGTTCCAAACAATGCAAAATTGCAATAGAAAGGAATGAGATATTGCGATTATATGTAACATTATGATATTTTTATTGCAGTATTACAAATTCTTATGTTTAGTCGTACATCTTGTATTTCAAGCAGCACTCATTAAATTGCAAAAAAAAAGAAAGGGAAGAAACATGATGTAAAATTATACTCAATGTTTACCTTGTATGCAGTTGATTTCTTGTGTTCGAGTTATACGACATAATCAGTTTATGTTCGAATTTATTCATTCGCTCTAACTGATTTGATTGTTACAGTCGGAAAATTTATTGCATGATGACAAAATATCCTCTGAAAAAACTGCCAATAAAGTTGAGTTGAATCACATCGAAACTGTGTGTGTTCCGATAATGAAATGTCCCAGATATTTTATTTATCTAGACATCTTCCTGAGTATATCAGCAAAGTGCCCATACTCGCGATGATGACTCTTCTGCATCATGTAAGCCTTCGTCCTCATCTGTAGAAAATTCCAGAGTAATAATTTCAGATCTTACACAACACAGAGGCGAAGCAACACACGACATATCGGAATTGTAATTATTACAAGAACATATCTACCGTGACTTTCGGATCCACCGAACCGTGGCGTTGTGACAAGTTCCACAAATTTACAGCCATATTCGCCAACGCGGGTTCCCGTAGATCCGCGCGAATGATGAAACAGTTGAACAATTCGAGCGCCAGGGCCGACTGCTTGTCAAACTGATCGGTGGATCCGAGATACTTGAGGTGACTCAAAATTTCCTCCACGATTTTCGAGCAAATTTTATTCACCTCGCCAATGAATTTTTGATCAGATCCATACAACTTGTCATTCGAATCGACCTGGAACGCCGATCATAAAATCAATATCATTCGATATTTACCCGGGTTTATGATTCATTTTAAAGCGTCGTAAATGTCATAACTATTCACTCAAGTATGCACGAAATCATGAAATATACCTTATCGATATGGTATGGATAATTTTCCTGGGCGACCGTCGATAGTAGATCGAGTACGCGCAAATACAGGTACGATTTGGTCGATGTGTTCTCTTCGAAACAACGTTGGACTGCGTTGAGCAAACCTCTCATCAGATACAAGACACCGTGCTCCGGACTATCCTAATGACGGAACGCTGTTACAGTTACAATGTTAACGTGCAACGCGTACTTGACTATACGCACCGGAACCACCAGCAACGTCGACAAGAAATTCGACAGGTACGAGAGCAAATACGGCTGCGAACTCTTCTGCCTGCCGTCGATGTCGATGGTCTTCGGCATTTCCGGAACCAAGCTCAAAGCTGCCTTGAAGCAGGCATCGGCTGAAAGCGCGATCGAATGAAATGACGTGAAATCTTCATCGTGTAGGCTAGATTGACTTACCTTGGCCCAGGCACTGATTCAAAAGAGCCACCTGTCCGGATAATAAATACAATTGAAGGCGTGTGTGGACCAGAGTCAACGATGGAATCGTGATGAAACAAAATGCAGCACAGGCGCGCACGAACGCTGATGTCCTCCTCGTATGGTGGCCGCGCACGATTTTCCTAGTGTCGACCGATAATCTATTTACACACTGCGCAGAAATGAAAGAATTGTCGTGTCAGTCGAGGCGTTTCATCGTCTATTTTTACATCGATTAGCATTTACACGTGCGCGTAAAAGGTATATAACGATATAAATACATAGTGATATAATTACGTGATATACAGTAAATGAAATGTACTCTATAAGTTAATACTATAGAAATATATAATAAAAAGAACATTTCTCTCTTGCGGTCACCTGTACAAGCTGTATATGAACACTATCGAGATTAGGAAATGCTGCTCTGGCTTCCGCGTAGAAACTTAGCTGCTTCTCGAAATCACGGCCATAGTCTACCCGTTGCACGAGACTGCATATCAGTTGGCCAATCTGCCGTTTCTCATCCTCGACAGTTAGAGCGCTACGAATTGTGATTAATTCAATCTTAGAGATTAGCGGATTAACTGAAACACAAGTGCCGACAAGTATGTCCTAACATACCTAACAGAGTCGTGCATGATTCTGGCGATAAACATTAGTGCGTTTATAATAATAGGATCTGTAATGGGCCCGCTTTGCGCGCTCAATCCTTCTATAACAGTCTTGCAAACCTCGACTTTGATACCTTCTTTGTGAAACAGATCTATCAACGGCAGGAAGTTGTCCTAGGAGTGTACACGATAAAATTGCTTATTGTGACTTGCTGTTTTTAACTGTGCCAACTATGAATGATAACGTATAATCTCAAGATTGAGCAGATAATTACCACGGCAAGTAATGACTCAAAGTCTTGCGTGTGGGTGACTATCTTCTCAACGATGTTTTGCAATTGAAAATAGTAGCTCTCGAAAGCCTTGTTCGGTCGAAGGCGATCTATGATTTTGCCGAAAAACAAATTGAGTTCATTCACCTGCAAGATATTATATAGATTACACGTTGCTTCGTGTGCCTGACACATCGAGTGTCAGCACAATCCGCTGAGCTTACAGAAAAATGTATGACGGTGAACTGAATCCAGATCTCGATGCAGTGCATGAATTTGTTGGGATCCGTGAGCTCCGTCACATACTTCCATATCACGTTCAGCACCGACTGGCAATCCTCTTTCGGCGGAGACTCTCGCAGGAGACACTCGCCCAAACTGCGATACAAGAGATACTGAGGGTATCCTACGAAATTGTCGAAAGGAACATGGTGATACTTTTCGAGTTAAAAATACGAATTGCTATATTGTTCATTTAATTTCTCATCACTCTCTCTACCATCGTCTTCGCTCGCTACTATTAGATTCACAAAGTCCATGGCGCGTGCGGCAATGTACGTCGGCTTAAATGCGGTCAGCACAGTATTTAACAATAATGATCTGAAAAGAAAGATACGGGTTGAAGAGAACTGACATGATCATACTAACGAATGATGCGTGTTAAACGTGCTTACCCGTTTTCTTGTTTTTTACACCGAGACAGAACTTCCTCGAGAAGACTCTCGGGCGACGTTGCCACCAAAACTTGTACGATCCAATCCAAGGCCGGCGAGTAGAGATTCAAATACGAATGTAAAGTAATATTTTGCTTCGTTAATTCGCTCCTCACAGCAGCTCCGAACAGCTGCTGGTAAGTGAAAAGAAAATCATACAAGTTCTCCCTTACAAACTCAAAATCTGACGTTTTGTTCAACGCCAATCCCACGCGACACAAATAGCATCGCGCGTAAACCGCTATCAATGGGTTTCCGATTCCTCTTATCATCCGAGTTATACGTAATAGAGCGGTATTAAATTCGCTGAAATGAAAATGAAAATATAAAAAATTCTTTCCCGAATTTTTTATTTTTTGAGACAACTGTAAGCGTGTCTCACCTTGTCGTTAAGAAGCTGTACGACTTTATTATCGCCATTTCGACATATAGACGCGGCACCAGCTCGCGTATAGACGCTATCTTGTAGAACCAATTCCGACATGTCTCCTTCGCGTTCTCCGGCACCATGTCGGGTGTAAAATTATCAGGCAAACTCGTGGGCACTTTGCTTCCTGGTCTACGAAAGAAATGTTGCAATTTTTAAGAATAAATAAAAAAGAAAATGCAACTGCGAGAGGTAAAAGTCTCTTTGCATGATAATTACTTGTAGTATTCAGCCTTCATTTTCAATCTGTCGTATACAAGTTTCCCAAAGATATCCAAGATGTCTGTGATGAGAACAAACTTGCTTGGATAAAAAGCCATTACAGACGTATCTACTAATAATTTGGCACACTGAAATAACTCAGCATTAATATCTAAGTTTTACGAGCTATGCTCTGACTAACTGCATAAATAATAAAAACCTGAATGGCTATTTTCAGAGCCTTTACTCTTTGATCAGAATGCCACGCTTGTACTAGTTCATTGTTCAATTGCTCGATTCGCGCGGTATATTGTTGTTGCGACAGATCCAACATTTGCCTCACAGAACCTTCCTCAAAGTCATCCAACTGCTCGAGACGCGTCTTCACTTTGTCGACCATTGGACCACTTGGTTGAACTTTTACTACAACTGCACAAAACCATATCATATTTCAATAGAAGAATATTCTATTCTTTAATCAAATATATATATTTCTCTACAAAATTGTATTATATGTTAATCTTATGAAATAAAAAATACCTTTTTCTCCACCTGGTAAAAAACTGGTAACAATTGATAGTTTTTCAGAAGTTGTGTATTTGCTCAGTATGGCAGAACGTCTAACAGACCATGGTTCTACTAATTCCTCTGCTGTATCTTTCAGTTTTTTGCTGGCCAGTGCAACGTTACAAGAGTAATCCCACTATAATATAAATAACAAACATTGCAAATCGCTTAAAAAAAAACAATATTTAAAAAAATATAAATTTTATATATTTTACTTCATCTGCAGCCATTTTGGAAAGAGGATCCAGTTCTTCACGGGCAAACTGTGTAAGAGGATCAGAACCATCCAGAGATGCATGGCTCAAGAGTGGATCATTCAGTTGATATGCAGGAATTGGTGTATGTGTTGGTGTTGGTGTTCCAGTGGAGGAACCTGTGCTTGTACTACGTAATATATTGCGTCTGACTGCACCACGTCCATCAATTAACTATATAGGCACAATAAAAATTAGTTTTTATAAGAATTATTATAAAAATTATATAAAATATAATATTACAATCTCAAAACTTTATAAAAAACAAGAAGCTATATCTTACAGTAATCACAACTGGTTTTAGAGGATGTTCTATAGCTTCTTCTAGGCATGTAAACTTTACAGTTCCATATTCCATAGGTTTTGATATCCTATAACAAAAATTTTTTACCATAAGAAAGTTTTACAAGACTTTTGTTTTTATATTGCCAGAACAAGATTTTAATATTATGAAATTACTTAAAGTTATAAATTTAACAAAAACGAACTCTCACCATTCTATCTCCGTCATATTTTACATGCATCAAGATACTTTTCCTGTAATACAACACATACAATACAATCTATTATATCAACATTATACAGTTTATCGTATAGCTCCCAAATTTGACAATCAAAAATACGCCCGCAAGGTTAAATGACAGATAATTCGTGACATCATTAAGCATCGTTTTCAAACAAAGTGGAAAAGTTAAATTATTTTGTCCATAACGCTGATTGGTTGTTTAGTAAGGAACTTATAAGGATCTCATAATTATTTTGTTCATAGCTTATCAACAATATAAGAAAGTTGTCCTTTGTAGTCCTTTCTGCATTAAGTTTTATACTTTGAGTAATTTAATTTAATTTTAACTAATAAATTTGCTGTGTAATAAATTCTATGATTATTTTAGTTGTCGAACATCAAATACAAGGTGAGTTTTCAAATAGCGGTGTTATCTCTGGATATCTTGCGACAGAGGGCAACGCGATCACCGTCCTCGATTCTAACACATCCGTTTCACATTCCTCGTAATTTGCTGGTCGTGCGCACGACTTCAAGAATTTGACAATTTTCGTGAAGATTCGCGAAATTTAAGCATGGACGATGTTCTAGAGAGCTGGGAACAGATAGAGGAATCGGGTGTAAGATTCTTTTGAAGCCTCATGTTTCAAGTTATATTTGGAATGGGATAATCCCCGAGTTAACCTATACTTCGCACCCACTCTTTCAAGTATAGATTTCTTACTGCTAAGTAGTACTCAAACATCGAGAATGATTCTGTCGATTTCTTTCACGTTGAATTGCGTCGATTGTTCCACAATATACTATATTCATGTTCTACTTGAATTCTCAGTATTAATACATACAATTCTTCATTGTAGTGGTAATTCAAATTACCATTAGGACATGGTCTTTTATGGAATGATCAGAACTATGGAATTTGCTTAAATGAAGTTTTTGCTAATTAATAAATATGCATGATATTCATTAGATCGTAAAGAAGTAATATGAGGTTGTAATATTTTTCAGGCCTTGGACAAGAAATTAAATTCTCTTCGTTTAGATGGAGTAGAGGAAGAGTTAGAGTCTTCTAGGTAAGATAAATAAATGATGTTCTCTTTTGTTTTATATGAAATTAGATTATATACTTACTGCAAAATATATTGTTACTATATTGTCTCTTGCAATATTTTATTATATACCCGACAATTTTATAGATGTAAAACCAGTAATAGTACAAACACCAAAATGATCATATTGGGAGATGATGGTATCAGGTCTCAATATGTACCACCAAAACCCACAGTTAAGATATTAAAAAGACCAACTGCAGATTCACGTGGAAGTGGTGATGGACCATTGATGAATGGTGATAAACCAAAACAACCTATTAAATCTTTAAAACAGGTACATAAATATCTCATTCATATTTCAGTCTTTACTATAATACATAAATATAAAATAAATCTTAGAAGATTATATTCTTAATTGGGAAGTGTGATATTAAACTTCATCATCAAACTTCAAAACATTTTAATGAAAATAAATGGAATGCTTGATGATATATAAATGATAAATACAGAGGGAACAGGAATATGCATTAGCTAGGAAAAGAATCATGGGAGAAGAGAAGAGTCCAGAAGAGAAGTCAATACAAGAGATCAACAAGATTCAGCCAAAGTCAAGTATACCAAGTGGCAGTGGCCTACCGAATAATATTGTTCGCATGCCTACTGGTCCGGATGGTACACGGGGTTTCAATGTGCGTAGGTAGCGTGTCTTCCAAGGGTCGACTGTTTCCACCTACTTTCTTCCTCTCTTCCCTTGTTGCTACAGCGAAGGGAGAGATCGGCTATGAGGCCGATTACGGAGCAGCTTCACATTCTGTGTACAGAAGTTAACAATTTCAAAGCTGCATCCGACGAATCGTCATCATGTGCGGACCATATTTGCAGGGTCAAGATTATGAACTTATCAAAGCAAAGGAGAGAGAAGTGCCGCCGGTGTTGTGCTGTGTTCTGTTAGTGTTTTGCTACGTTTTATGAATCTGCAATCGCGCGATCAGAAAAAAAGGACGTACATAGCAGAAGAGATTATATGTATCATATTTGAATCACAGTTTTGCTTGTAAATGCATTCCTGTCGGGTGCGACGTGAACAATGCAGTAGGAAATGTGAAATTGCTTTTGTGGAAATATGAAGAAATCCTTGCTTTATTTCTTGTAAAATATTCGAGATATTTAATATGAATTATGTTATACAAAAATCACTGTATATATATATATATAATAATTGACAATTGTACACAATATCTCGAGTGTTTTGTTATTAAATCAAGGACTTTTAAAGAGATCTCTTGATTGAATCTCTAAGTTAAGTAATTGATCTTGAGATTCTTCTATTTTATATTTTATGCGATATTGTAAGAACACAATGTATTGTGATGTATGATACATATATATGTACAAATGTTAAAAAATTACTTTCTACATTTTGCAATGTTTTATTACAAATTCGACTCTTGTTTTAGAGAGTAGCAGAGATTAGGGAAAACATCAAAAACCAGATGATTCACCATAGTTATATTTTGACAAAAAATATCAATGACACCAACATTAAAAATATATAATGTATCAGGAAGTAGCTTATGAAGTAAAACTTCAAGAGATGAATATCCAAGAAGTTGCACTTTTCAATATGCCATAATATCAAAAACACAATGATGAATTTACATTTTTCAATGCTATTAGGTGCTTGAATTAATTTTCACTGTTTTCTGCAACAAAAACTCATGTTTATTTCAAAAGAATGGTACATTATATTTTATTCAAAGTATTGTCCTTTGGAAGCTACTTTCCTCTTTTTAGGTAACACTGTAAACGAGGTAAATTCTGTGGTAGAAAAATTCAGGTTCTTTTGAGGCAATCCAGTCATTGAGCCATTTTTTGATATCTTCAAAAGATCTGAAGTGTTCAGAAAGGCCATGCTGCATTGACCAAAACAAATGGTAATCGGAAGGAGCAATGTCTGATGAATAGGATAGGTGGGATAAAATATCTCATTTAAATGCCTCCAAGATTTCTTTCACTGGTTCTGCAACATGTAGTATACCATTGTCATGGAGAAAAATTATTTTGTCATATCTTTTGGCGTATTGTGAGTGTGTTTCTTTGAGTATTCGATTCAAATTGAGTAACTGTCGTTGGTAGTGTTCAGCATCAATGGTTTGGCTCGATTGCAGCAGCTCATAATACATTATACCATCTTGATCTCATCAAATGCACAGCATATGACCTTGCACTTAGGATTGTCATAATGAATCCATTTTTCATTGCCAGTTAAAATTCGATGCAAAAACAACTTGTCTTTGAAACAGCAATTCACAAATGGTTAAACATTTCGCAATATTTCTTTCAATTCATGTGGGATCCAGTTTCTTGGCTTCAAACAACGACAAAATCAAAATCGTCTTTGAATCATCTAAACTAATCTCTGCGAGTTGTTTTAGATAGAGCATGCTCCCTTCACTAGCAAACGATGACTTTCAGCAGCAGATTTCTTGAGATGAAGCAGAAAAGTAATGCTACCCACAAATGCTCTTTTTTGAACGAAATCCGACATCTTCAATGCATTAAAAAAAGTGTTCTTCGCACACCAATCTAATGTTATACACTGATTATTAAAATCTTCCTTCCTTCCTTCAATATATGGTTCTGGGCTTGTGGGAGTAGGCCCCTACGCCATTCTTCTCGATAAAAGAGGTAAAAGAAAATAGGGACAACGTGTACGCTGTTCCCATGATCAAAAAATATCCGCAGTTACAAGAACCACATCCAACCACCACGGAAGCGAACAGAAACCTTATTAAAATCTATTGACAGTACTTTCATATACACCAATGGTTATTTTCGGCAATGTTGAAATAGCACAACTACTGACCTCTATTAGTCAACAGCGAGAATTAATTCAAGCACCTTATATTCGCAATAGGAGGATACATTTTCTAGAGAAATATCACTGATTAGTCCCTAGCAAACCGATTTCTTTATGGAAAATGTTTTGGTGCCGAAAGTATGTAATGCGTTTAGCTTACATAAATTTACACAATACAAATCTTGTGGAGTGTATAAGCAGAGAGAAACCTGAAAGTGGCCAACACGTCATTTTCTGCGACACCGACTTTCCGCACTGGGAAAAGACGCCATCTGCATTCATTTTGAGAGGGGAACTACGATACTACATCCACTTTCAGGCCTAGGTGGTAAAATCTGCAAGTGGTGGAAGTCCGTGCTACATCCACTTTCAGGCAATTTATGTCCGTGGTGCAACCACCGCCGGCCGCGGGGCCGCATCACGTAGCCGTCGTTCTGTCGCCTAGCCCCGTCTCTTTCGCCCCGGGGCCTCACCAACTTCGCTGCCAGCCGCGGAGCTGTGTCTCCGCGGGTACAAATTTACAAAGTTGTACGACGTTGGATTATACGCTTATAAGACCAAGAATGCGAAAAACGTAGATTCCACTATATTTTGGACCAGAGAGGAACGTGAGAGCGACTAACACGGTGTTTTTGACGACACCGACTTTCCGCACTGGGAAAGGACGTCATTTACATCCATTTTGAGAGGGGAACTACGATGCTACATCCGCTTTCAGGTTTTGGCGATAAAACCTGTATGTGGTGGCAGCCCATGCTACATCCATTTTTAGGCGATTTATGTCCGTGCTACAACCATAATAGCGTACTTGACAAGCTCGGTTTCGTACATTGTTACGCGTTTATAACATGAATTAACATGTTAACATGTGCAAAAAAAGAAGAATTGACATTGTGTATGATTAATATCATGAAGATCATACGAAGTATCCGGTAATTAACTGTCAACCCGAAGTGTGAGGGTAGATTGGGTTGAGACAAACATAAAAGTCCCACACCATTTTGCGAGATTCGCAATAATTATCGAGTTATTAATGACAGAAATCTAAGGAGTAAAAGCGCGCCGACATAGATGATTCGAAAAGCGTTGCAGCTGCTCGGGGCAACGATCATGAATCTTTTCCCTAGCGTGAACTAGTAAAAAGTGAAAGACTTCTGTGAATCAGTGAAAAATGAAAAATTTTATATGAATTTGTGAAAATCGAAATATTTCACACGACAATTGAGTCGCTCAACATGGCAGTTGCACGTCCTGGATAATTCAATGAATACCAAAGAAATCAAAATGATCAAAATAATAATGTCCGTGTAGTCCGAATTAAGGATATTACGTGACACGCAAAATCCGTTTGATATAATATCCAAAGAAAATGTTTCAAAATATGTATGTACAAATAATATAAACCTTATGCACCGACGAGATATACTACAAAGACTGATGGCCTGATGGACGGGATTTAGCGCACCAGAGAAATTTCTCTGGTGAGGCACCGGGCGAAAGAGACCGTCTCGCATTTAGCGCAGTAAAATTTAATGGAAACTAATACTTTTCAATCCTTTTCTTCGGGTCAAAAAGATTCAGAATTCAGACATATTCAAAATGTCAATACTTTTTAATACGTTTCAATTCGACATTTTATACAGGGAAGCAGGAAGAAGGGAATGCGATGCGGGCAACGATACATCATGCGTCTTCAGACGTATCAAATCGTTTATTATAGAGGAGACTTTGATACGGCAACATGTATTCGAATATTTAATCGTCCCATGGACCACTTATATACAAGGTGTCCCATTTAACCTGACAAATCGTAATATCTGGAAAACTACATGTCGGATCAAAAAAAGTGAGTAATGAAATTTGTTCGCCTCGAAGGGGGACATCCAATGATATCAAACTCGACCTCCCACCCCACTCCTGGGGAGTGGAGGTGAGGGGCAACTTTGAAATCTTAAATGGGGGGAAACCCCCATTTTTTATTGCAGATTCGGATTCTACGCCACAAAATACGTAAGTTTTGTCCGAAACTTTTTTTTTTATTCGTGACAGATGGCACTGTAATCGCAAAAAATTAGATTTTCTGCAATTCTCCAGAAATGATCATTGGATTGAAAAATAAAAAAATACCTGTCCAATATTTTTAAAAATATTTTTAAAAAACATAATAACAGTTATTCCCCCCCATCCCCTCGGAGTAGGGTGGGTGGTAACGTTCAAATCTCAAATGAGAACCTACATTTTTCATTGCAGAATTAGATTTTACGTGAAGTCTTTATGGAAACAATTTTTTTCATTCGTGATAGATAGCGTTGAATTTTTCCGAGAAACTACTTTTAGCGTTACCCAGGAACAACGACGAGGATATAGTAGCTTTCTGTTCCCTTCGGGGTGCTTGTTTTAGGTGAGTCCCCTCGCCTCTCACCATCGGGGTGCTTGTTTTATGTGAGTCCCCTCGCCTCTCACCATCGGGGTGCTTGTTTTAGGTGAGCCCCCTTGCCTCTCACCATCGGAGTGATTTTGCATAATTAATTTGTTAGTGGCATCTCTCCATCGTCCGCGCTCATAGAACTTAAGAGACGATCATTGGTATATTCTATAATGAAGGTTTATAATTTATTTATTATAATACTATATAAACTTAAATAAAACATTATACCGTATATGTATAAAGAGAATTTACAAGAACATTTTATTATAATAAAAATGTTGTCGTGTATGTATTAATCAAGTTTTAGTTCGATATAGTTTTTTAAAGTCAAATTAGATATCATTGACATTTCGTTAATTATAATAAGAATAACATCTTTGAATAAAAAAATATCAAAATATGTAGAATATATACATATTCGATATGTATATTCTATAGTGAAGGTTTATAATTTATTATAATACTATATAAACTTAAATAAAACTTTACACCGCATATGTATAGAGAGAATTTACAAATTTGTTGTCATATATGTATTAAACAAGTTTTAGTTCGATATAGTTTTCGGTGCAGCCGCGCCAAGATTTTTTGTATCAAATATTTTTTATTGCATTGTTATAATAATTAATTTGTTACAATAACAAGTAAAATAATCATGTAACTCAGTGTTCTAATAAATAATGGTAAATTTTATTTGTAAAAATTTATGTTATGGACATTTTTGTACCTAGGTTTTCTTGAATATTTTGGATAACATAACCTTTAAAAAGATATTTTTCTTTAAATATTGGATACTATTAACAAACGTGTTAAATTTTTATAACACGTGTTGCACTTGTACTTGGCGCCTTTTTTTACCTTTTTGT